CTCGATGGGCTCCTGGAGCTGCTGGAACGCTCGATGCGCTCCCCAGAATGCTCCCTGGAGCTGCTGGAACGATCGATGGGGGTCCCTGGAGCCACTGGAATGCTTGATGGGCTCCCCAGAATGCTCAATGCGCTCCTGGAGCCGCTGGAACGATCAATGGGGCTCCCAGAACACTCGATGGGGGAGCGTGGAGCCACTGGAATGATCGATGGGGGTCCTCAGAACGCTCAGTGGGCTCTTGGAGCTGCTGGAACAATCGATGGGCTCCCCAGAATGCTCGATGAGGGTCCCTGGAGCCACTGGAAAGCTCGATGGGGCTCCTGGAGTTGCTGGAATGATCAATGGGGCTCCCCAGAACACTCGATGGGCTCCCCAGAACGCTCAATGGGCTCCCAAAATGCTCGGTGGGCTCCCAGAATGCTCGATGGGCTCTCAGAACGCTCAGTGGACTCTCAGAATGCTCCCTGGGGCTCCCAGAACATTTGATGGGCTCTCAGAATGCTCTATGGGGCTCCCAGAACCCTCGATGGGCTCCCAGAACGTTTGATGGACTCTCAAAACCCTCGATAGGCTCCCAGAACGCTCACTGGACTCTCAGAACATTTGATGGGCTCYCAGAACCCTCGATGGGCTCCCAGAACCCTCGATGGGCTCCCAGAACGCTCGATGGGCTCCCAGAACCCTCTATGGATTCCCAGAACGCTCGGTGGACTTTCAGAATGCTCCATGGGGCTCCCAGAACATTTGATGGGCTCCCAGAACGCTCAGTGGACTCATGGAATGCTCACTGGACTCTCGGAATGCTCAGTGGACTCCCAGAACGCTCACTGGACTCTCAGAACCATTGATGGGCTCCCAGAACACTCAGTGGACTCCCAGAACCCTCACTGGACTCTCAGAACGCTCGGTGGGCTCCCAGAACACTTGATGGGCTCCCAGAATGCTCAGTGGACTCTCGGAATGCTCGATGGGCTCCCAGAACGCTCAATGGGCTCCCAGAACGCTCCATGGGGCTCTCAGAATGCTCAGTGGCTCCCAGAACGCTCAGTGGGCTCCCAGAACGCTCCATGGGGCTCCCAGAATGCTCAATGGGCTCCCAGAACCCTCTATGGATTCCCAGAACGCTCGGTGGACTYTCAGAATGCTCCATGGGGCTCCCAGAACATTTGATGGACTCCCAGAACCCTCAGTGGACTCTTGGAACGCTCAGTGGACTCCCAGAACTCTCGATGGACTCTCGGAACGCTCGATGGGCTCCCAGAACGCTCAGTGGACTCTCGGAACGCTCACTGGACTCTCGGAACGCTCACTGGGCTCTCAGAACCCTCACTGGACTCTCAGAACATTTGATGGACTCCCAGAATGCTCAGTGGGCTCCCAGAACGCTCGATGGGCTCTCACAACGCTCGATGGGCTCCCAGAACGCTCAATCGGCTCCCAGGATGCTCACTGGACTCTCAGAATGCTCGATGGGCTCTCAGAACGCTCACTGGAGTCTCACAACGCTCGATGGGCTCCCATAACCCTCGATAGGCTCCCAGAACATTTGATGGACTCCCAGAACGCTCCATGGGGCTCTCAGAATGCTCAGTGGACTCTCAGAACACTTGATGGGCTCCCAGAACATTTGATGGACTCTCAGAACGTTCAATGGGCTCCCAGAACGTTCAATGGGCTCCCAGAATGCTCAGTGGACTCTCAGAACCCTCGGTGGACTCTCAGAATGCTCGATGGGCTCCCAGAACATTTGATGGGCTCTCAGAATGCTCGATGGGGCTCCCAGAACGCTCACTGGACTCTCAGAACATTTGATGGGCTCTCAGAACCCTCAGTGGACTCTTGGAACGCTCAGTGGACTCTCAGAACGCTCGATGGGCTCCCAGAATGCTCAGTGGGCTCCCAGAATGCTCCATGGGGTTCCTAGAAAGCTCACTGGACTCTCGGAACGCTCGATGGGCTCCCATAACCCTTGATGGGCTCCCAGAACGCTCGATGGGCTCCCAGAATGCTCAGTGGACTCCCAGAACCCTCGATGGGCTCCCAGAACATTTGATGGACTCTCAGAACGCTCACTGGACTCTCAGAACATTTGATGGACTCCCAGAACC